TGCAATCATTTGAGGAAAGGCAACAGTTATCAGACTTAATAGTTTGTTTTACAACGAAGACGAAAAAAATGATCATGAAGAAGAACGGCATAAAACGGATTTTTCGCATGGGCAACGCAGCTGCCATCAAAAAAATGTGAAATTCTCTTTGTTTAAAGCAATGCAACATGCAATACGTGAAACGCATCCTTTTCATTCTCAAGGTCCTGAATGGAGGTCATTTACAATATTCATTGTGCAATGTTTTTACATCGAAACGTTATGATTTATGATTTACATATTTGGCGTTAACGAAAGGGTTTGCCTGGCGAAAGACGTTAAGAATTACAAGCGTTAAGTTAAAACGAAGAAGTAACAGAAACAGAAACGATGACATGAAAATTATACCAGTACAACGGAAACAATATTTGACTAGATTTATGAATTAGTTTCTTATTTGCCAAATTATTCCGTTCTCATCCCCTCTTATTTTTAGGTTGTGTCCTTTGTTTGTAATAATACCTTCGTGTATACGATTAAAAATCACTAAATTCCGAAAAGTGAATTTTTCTGAAACTCTGATTATTGATAAACTCTTCTTGCCAAACACGCTGGAGCTTCAACGGAAAATTCACTAGATCGATTTCGCTCCATCAGATTGGAGGTTCTATCTTGTCGAGATGAAACGGGGAGATGGTCTGCCCTGAGGGTAGTGTTTATGCAAATGGTAAAGATACGAAACAAGTCATTTGATACACATATCTCAGTGATCAGCTGAACAGCACGAACATGTTAGATAGGAAAATCAGCAAAGAGGGAAGACGGAGTTAGCCAGTTGCAACCGCATTAAACATTGCTACTCGAGAGTGCACTGTTCTTGCGGGCGAAGGACAAACTGTTCAATTCAAACCGGTTTACCTGCCCCCTCTTCAGTGGTCTACAGCACTGAATGCTGGTCTGCTACTATAATGGAGGAGAAGTAACCGACGGTCACACAAACATCGATGGGGAAAAAAGTGCATAATCTCCATCCATCCCGAGCCCGAGTGCACCAATTCGACAATGGACTAAATTGAACGACGTTGCTTCTGTCTTCACGGCGCCAACGGAAGATGAATCGGCTATGTGGCTCACCTGAGAGAGAACTATTGCACGTGAAAATTACAAACTTGACTCCCCTTTACCACCAACGTATCTTCATCCAAGAACCCGCTGGGCAAACATGATGGTCAGATCTGTAGGCCATATGTGGAAGATGAGGCAGAGAACGGAGAAGATAAACTCAGATAGAAGCATCGGCTCATGTTCATGGATCGCTCATGAGGGGGACACATCTAATGAAGCACAAATTTTTCACAATTTCGTTCATGTTATGCCAGATCATATCATAATTGCACATCACTCATTCTGGACCAGACTTCACGGCGCATTACACCGCCCCCGGCGAGTAATTGCGTGGGAGGGAATGAGACATTGAAGCCGGCCATAACTCTACTGAATCTGAGCACTTACAGTATCAGAGGCATCTCGCGTCTTTCCGTCCGGTAGTGCCACCTCGCGCTCAGCAAGAACAAAGCGACCGCTTAAACATCAAAATTTGTTCGTAGAATCACAAGCATTAAAATATTTACCACACACTCAAATAACCACTGCAAGATGAGGCAAGACCTAGAATTTGAATTTATCCGCCTCCTCCTCATATTGTCTAATCTGAGGCAGGATAAAGGAGTAAGGCAACGGAAAGCTTATTACGGAGATGAATTATAAGAAACAGAAATGAATCCTACCAATCAGATAAGGTGTATGTACCACTTCCAGAATTTCTGGCCATTCAGTGATGAGGAGGAGGCGCTAGTTCAAATAAGGGTGACATGACCAGCTAAGCATCCACCAGAAAATTGCTCTGTAAAGTAGCTGACTAGGTGCTTGTTGCGAAAATGGGAGAGAGTCGGTTTTTTGCATTTTCGTATCGAAAATGAAATATCGATCAGAGGCGACGTTTCTCATGAAGTTATTGTTTTTGCTTCTTGTTCGATGGCGCGCGTCTTGAATATATTTTTCGAATAAATTAATTCTCACTTTGAAAATTTATCCGCGCTTCTCTTCAGCCGTAACGAGCGACGTTTGGCGTGCTTTAATTTTCAATTTGAAGCGCAAACATCATTTACATAAAATTTATGACCGCATCGTCAAAGCAGTCACTGTTGGAGTCGACGAGGACATGCGAAATAAACTCGCAAAACACCGCGGCCGAAGTCCGAGTCCAAGTCTTTCGTGTTCGATATTACACAAAACACATAAAGGCCATCAAACGTCGTCGGCCGACTATTTGAGTCGAGTTGGACTCGGTATCGAAACACTATTACAGCCCTTTGGGTTTTTCGGAAAGATGTTGATTTTCAGGCTGAGGTTTCGGTGAGGGCTATTTCTTGATTTAGCTCAAGCACTTTGTGTTCGTAAACAACTGGTTGTGTGCGCCCATACCACCTTAAGCAATTTACACAATTTACATGAGAAGGTTTCTGGTTTATGATTTCTGTCGTACTTGCAGGCAGTTCTACGACACTTTTGCCATAAGGCACTGGTTACCGCAGCGCAAAACAAATATTTGTTCCCAACTTGTTTCTTCAGGCTACATGCTGGCGTCTTAGTAGACTCGGAGGCGAGGGGCTCGCGAGTTGGAGCAAATTTTATCTACTTCATCAATTTGTCTAACAAGATCAACCTCCTTTCGCCAATCTACTCATTTGTTGAGTTCGCCTGTGCCTGGAAGAGAACAGAGTAGTGACTTGTGCGATCCCGCGATTCAAGCCTGATTATG